AAGTCATGATCCTTCTAAAAACTCCAGCGCGCATGCTCCTAGCGTCGCGTGACTTCCGCTTTTGTAACAATATTAAATACAAATTATATGAAGTTTAAAATGAATAAAATAAAGAAAGAGATGTGTTTCTAGACTGAACATAATTTTCATGTGAAAATTATACTAATTTTGTCTATGTATGTTTTATTAAATACAAATTATATGAAGTTTAAAATGAATAAAATAAAGAAAGAGATGTGTTTCTAGACTGAACATAATTTTCATGTGAAAATTATACTAATTTTGTCTATGTATGTTTTATTAAATACAAATGTTTTACTTATTTTCATTTTATTTAATAACCTAAATTTTCAATTTTTTTCCTTAGTTTAACTTTTGGACACTGCATGGCAGCGTACTCCAACCTGAAGATCGATGGAAACAAACATATTAAATACAAAGTATGTGAAGTTGAAAATGAATAAAATAGAGAAAGAGCCGTATTTCTATACTGAATATGATATTGAAGTCAACTTTATGCTATTGTTTCAATGTATGTATTATCTAAATACAAAAGGTTTACTTATTTTCACCTTATTTTTTATCACACATTTTGATATTTTTTCCGTAGCTTAACTTTTGGAGACTGTATAGCAGCGTACTCTATATAAAGTTATTTGAAAACAAACAAATGTAATAAATACAAAGAAATTAAGTTACAAATGAATAGAACATAGAAAGATATATGTTTCTAAACTGAACATATTGTTCAAGTGAAATTTATGCTAATTTTATCACTGTGTAATTTTTATTTGAATATTAAGTATTTACTTGTCTTCATTTTATTTTAATATCCTGCTTTTTTTTTTTTTTCATCCTTTTACTTTTGGACACTGCATTGACAACATTCTCCACCTAAAAATCGATGGAAACAATGAAGCTGAAAATTATTAAAATAGAGAAAGTCTAGACTAAATATAATGTTAATGTGAAATTTATGCTATTTTTATCACCGTGATATTTATTTGAATATTACGGATGTACCTGTTTTGGATTATAATTTAATGTCCTACTTTTTAAATTATTTTTTTAGTTTATCTTTTCCACACTGCATAGAAGTATGTATAGTCTACCTAAAGTTAGACTAAAATAAACAAATGTACTATATATATAAAGTTAATGAAGTTTGGACATGAATAAAAGAGAGAAAAAGTCACGTTTATAGACTAAATATAAAGTTAAGATGAAATTATGCTAATTTCTTCACTGTAATTTTTATTTAAATTTTATAAGTTGACTTTTCTACTTTTTTTCTTACTTTAATTTTTGGACATTGAATGGAAGTACAACGTACGTAAAGATCGATGGAAACAAATAAATGTAATAAATACAACGTAAATGGAGTTGGAAATGAATAAAGAAAGAGCTATGTTACTAGACTGGATGTATTGCCAAGGTGAAATTTATGCTAAGTTTTCAATTCTTATTATTTTTTGAATACTTATGGTTTACTTCTTTTTCATTTTATGTTATCCTCCTTTTTTTAATTATTAGTTTAACTTTTGGACATTGCATAGCAGCATACATTACCTAAAGATCGATATAAACAAACAAATGTAATAAATACAAAGTAAGTGTAGGTGGAAATAAATAAAACAGAGAAAGAGTTGTATATTTCGACTGAATTTAATGTGGTGGTGAAAAAATGCCAAGTTTCCACACTGTATTAGTTGATGTAACAATTAACAGTATCCTTCTCTTCTATTATCCTACATAAAAAAAAAAATTCTTATTTTTGCGATGACGAGGAACCCACTTTGAGACTAATAATGGCTGGAGACGGCTTGAATGGGTAATGAAGAACTTTAACATAACTGAAAATGCACAACGTTTCGACAAGGTTTTGTATTTATTGGGGATATTTCAAATTCTTCTGTATTTGTGTTTCTTATAATTTCATTACTAAGTGAAATATTTCATTATACTATGGCCTCAGTTTCTATTTATTTTGTAGATATAATTACATAAGCATACTCATTATCTCGGGAAGTAAAAAGTAACGCAAGTTTGTTTAAATTAACTTTATTTATTCTAAAATAAAGCAATTTATATTTTAAAGAAAGTAATGAAAATGAAACATTATTGCATCGTAATATCACCATAAACTTGTAAAATTATAATATTAAATGTAGATATTCAACTCCTTTTGTGGCACAACACTAATTTGACACAAGAGAGCTTTTTATTTATTGTTAAAGATTCTTGATTTGTGACAGTGAAAATTTTTAAATATCATTACCGTGAGAGTAAAAACTTCATTATGGCAGATTGTATTTGACCGTTGCTAGACGTCTTTCTTTACATCACATTAAGCGTGCCTATTATACAACATAACAAAAATGAGTACATATTATATGGCCAGAAATTTACTCATATAAATCTTGATAAGTAAACTATACACCATCTTTTTTTATTCCAAGTATGTTACAGTTTTGTTGTGATTATTCCATGTGCAGTTACAATTCTTATTGTGATTATCTGATGTGTAGTTACAAGTATGTTAAAATTTTTGTTGTGAATATTCCATGTGTGGTTACAATTTGTTTTTGTAAAGCTATCAAGACTGCCCCATACTTTTGGTTTTATTGACATCATAAATGCATTTTAATTGTTTCATACTCTTGTTTCTAATAAATATTTTACAAGCTAATAACGATAAATGGTTTTTGTATATACTTAATAGTGCCTAAAACTTGTGTCGTACAAATTATATAACTTTCCTTTGTTTCCAAATGTAATTGGAAACTTGCATTTCAATAAAGTATAACTGAGTATTTTACAAGTTATGCCTTCCCTGTATTATTTTCAATAGCAATAAAGACATCCATTCACTGTGCAGGGCAAGTAACTTTATTTAACTCTGATAACATAAGAATGCTTTAAACCTGCTAATACATTTGTTTTTCTTTATAGCATTAGTTATATAGAAGTTTCCTTATATACCCTTGATACTCATTGTAATATTACAGCAGAGAATAAGGATATTGTATTATCTAACTATGAAGGAGAAAATGATAGGGTTGCCATGAAAACACTGAAAGAACACTAATTAAACTACAGAATATAGTAGTTTCACAAGTTATTTGTTGTGGTAAAGCCACCTTGCAAACAGTAAACCTTGTTTCTTATAAAATACTGACAAAAAAGAACACTTCATGGCTGCTATCATGACACAGGAAAGGAAAATATAAATATTTTTTGTGCAATAGTAGTAATTTTCCCCATATGTATTTATATATAGAATTTAAACTTGCAAAATAGTGGTACTATTAACATAAAAATTTAACATTTTAAATAAAATAGTCTATAATATTTGAAATACAATAACATGTAAACATGTCATTAAAATAAAACTTTTAAACAATAACTAAAAAAACTCTATAAGCACTGAGCAAGACAAGTAAATACAGAGTTTAAAAAATCTGATTTATAAAGTATACATTTTCATTTTTTTATCAAGTTAAAAAATCAAATCAAAAACTACAAAAACTCCTTAAGGAACGAGAAAGCTACAAAAGAAGTTCTATATAATAGAATACTACTAAAGCAACTTTTAAAAAAATCACAAAATCAGGAAGCACAATTTGAAGGACAAGAAAGAAGTCATTGTAACAGGTTTACCTTACTTTTTGTGCAATGTTACAGTACAGAACACATCTTCAATGAACTATTAAATTCCTAAGTTTTTAGAGAACTGCAGAAAACCAAACACATTTTACTATTAAAAATTAAACAAAGTTGGAAACAATGGTTATTTGATACAAAAAAGAATTGTAAACACATACAGATATAGTTAAAATACCTCATCCTAAATATAAAGAACTAGTTTCAAATGAGCAAGAATTTGACATAAGGCCTCAATTCTAAAATATGGTAAAGATGCATTCAAATCTGCATAATGACTGAAGAAAGATCACTGCTCTGTGGAAGACTTGTCACTCGATTCATCTTCATCATCAATGTCATGATGATGAGTTATTTTACTTGGAGTTTCAGCATACAGATGAGGAACTAAACTATCAGCTCTGGCACGTCGTCGTCCTGAGGATTCATCTTCTAACCTGGAGGGGTGATAGCCTAAGTGATCATCCTCCCTGGATGTTCGACAGATTACATGATTACCATCACTTTTGTTTACCAAAGCACTATCTTTAATTTCTGCTTCATAAAATTCACCATTGATTTGATTCTCAAAGTGTTGGACAGCCCCAGGATCATGCTCTACAGTTGATTCATGAGGCATCTGTATCGAAAAAAAAGTCTATACACTAACTGACAACTGTGTAACTGAAAAAGACAAACCAGTTCTATTAAAAATAAATCTCCTTTCTCAAGACAAGAAACTGGTAGTCTACAGTAAATAAATGAGACATCTGTAATAGAATTAAATGTTTCTAACTAAATTAATAATCTACTTAAATATCCCTATAATAAAAACAGAAGCTTTTATAAATGCCTAAACCAATACTACACAGTTAAAACAGGATTAATCTGCAGTGAAAAACACTTTTATAAAGTAGCAGAGACATTCTGTGCCAAGGTAATCAGGTGATATTTCACAAACACTTAAATGATGAACATTTTTTCTTTCAACAACATCTCGTCTGGATTCTTAAGAGCATCAGTGATTCTATTTGATCCCTTTTAAAATAAATTTCACCTTGTCCTTTTCAATCTATTTTGCTGTGTTTAACCTTGAATGCCCTTGTCCATGTCTAACAAACTTTGTTTTCTTTATTTCCTTGTGTTATGATAAAAGTATTTTGTCAATTTTTCCATTTTCATATCTTGTTGAAGGTCAAAATGACTTTATTTTCCCACTTTTGCATGATTAGGTCTATAAGTATCCATTACCTTGTTTCCTGCTCTCTTAAATAGTGCTTCAAGTAGGTTGTACTGTGTTTTCCAATATTCTTCCTAATTTTCTATTTGAATTACTTTTCTTGTTTCTTTTTTTACTCTTAATCATCTGCTAATTAGTTTATCTTTTTAGAACTTACCAACATTGGAGGGGCACGGAATATGTAACAGAAAGGATAATGCATCAGGTTGAAAAACGATACTCCATAAACATCTGCAAATCGACAGATCTGACTGGCAAAAAATGTCTGCCTGGAGCCTGTGGAAACAGAACAAACATAAACAGAAAACACTACAAAGAAAACATACAACAGAGCCCCAGATAAGTTTTGGTTGAATACTTCACTCACAATGTTTGTTTAATTGGGTATTTTCCTTTTTTTTTTCTTCAGTATTATCAACTATTTTTCTTAAATTTTTAATTGGGTATTTTGAATTTCTAGGTATAAAAATAAACTTACTTTACTCTGACAACAAAGCAGAAAACCTGTGAAATTCAGTAAAAGACTGAATTATTCTTATTTTGTTTCAAATGATTTTCACTTTCCAGTTCAACAGTCATTGCACTTGGAACAGAACTCAACAAATTAGAGGGGTGCTAATAGTATCACACAGATATCACATATTTCCACTAGGGACACCACTATGACATAATGTTTGACTGATCATGGCAATGATTCAAAATGTGCTTCTTCAGCATGCAGAATGCATTGCATTTGTGTAGCAATGGACATCCCAGCAACAATGCATATCTTATCTGGTATGCTGACTGTTTTGCAGACAAATTGCATCCTTGCGGTCTGGAATTGTGTGAGGTTTCCCAAAGTAGTCGGGTGAATTCAGACACCAGAAATTGGCTAGTCTTGAGACCAATGAACAAGGTGGCCATTTACAAGGAAACTGATTCTACCCTGAAAGTACTCCTGTTTCACCTGATTACTACAATGTGGAAAGGCATCACTCTGCATGAAAACTGTGGTGTCCATCACATTTCGTTTGATGCAGCATGATTATCGGTTGTGAATATTGCTGTATAGCATTGGTTGTGTCCATATACTGATGGTCCTTCTAAAATGCATTACCAAGAATCTGTTGTGAAACCACACCACACTGTCACCTTAGCATCATGGTGGTGTGTAGGAAATGTTACATATAGATTAGTTTTTAACCATATGATGCAATGTTGCATATTCACACTTTCAGAAAAGGAGAACTGTGTTTCACCAGTCAACAAGATATTGGCAGGCTACTGGTCAACCACTTCCAGTTTTACCAAGAGATGCAATGCAAAATCAATAAGTTGGAATAAATTTATCTCCTTCAGTGCTTGAACATGATGCAGCTTAAAATCATAAATAATATTCAATGTTAAACTGGTACACAATTAAAAACATTTTATCTAGGCCTATCTATGGCCTTCAAAAAGTTGATGACTCTACATGTTTCGACGTTACAAAGTCATCCTCAGGACATTACCAGTAACAGAAAGACTAATGTTAAACACACTATGTATGTATGTATGTATGTAATCTGACATTTGTCTGCCTGACATTGATGATACATTTGAATTTACCATGAATTTTGTAACAACTTTTTATTTTTTACATTTATGTAGATTTTGTATTCTAATTGGGTTATTTTGAGATGTTTTTTTTTGCATATTTATGCAAGTATGCTGCTTACCTGGAACTCTGTAAAACTAAGATGCTATTGGAGATAAAACAGAAAACTGATACACAATATATGAATTGTACAAACGTTTTGAAATTAATCTTCTAAAAAAAATCATGGCATATATCACTAAGAAAATATTTACTACATTCATCACTTCAAACAAAGTGAAAACCGAAAGAAAGCAGGGTTTGAGCATATAAATACTTACCACATAGATACTTTAAGATACCACATCATGAGTGCATCAATTCAGTTTTCACTTCGTTGATGGCAAATTGTAGCAGGACACTACACTCAGAATTTGTCTTTTTTTTTTTATTAAAATAAGCCAACTCTAAGTGTTTTAACTCTGGAAAAACTTTAAAGTAGCACACCATTTTATGAACTTTGTGTTTCCTAAAAACAGAATAGGAAACATAACTCTGCTTACTAAGCAGATGCAAGTCTCAGTTTTCATATCTTTGGCTAATTAAGAACAGAATTAGTTTTAAAAAAGCAGTGACCAAAGTCCTGGGTTCAAATCATAATTCACCAAGTTTCTTACTTATTCAAGGAAACATTTTAATCCAGCACATGATAACACACTCCTAAAATAGTCATTCAAACAGTTTTCACGTACCCAATTTCATAGGTTACTTAAGTACACTTACCACTACGAAACGTGCTGCCTAATATACCATAAGACATATCTATGTTGTGGGAAGTTTCCTGTAAATATACAAGAAAAAAGAATAAGCACACATCTACACAATAAAATAAGCCTTACAAGAATCCTACTATGAATGTTGAAAAGAACAAAATGAGTCAATAATGCTCCAAAGCACATAAGAATGTTATGATTTGGAAACTTTCGTTCCTTTGGTTTCAGAATCAAATGTTTCTTTTTGTCATG